AACATGGCCAGTATTTTCTACACATAAAGCCATTGCTTTAAATTTATTTTTCCAGTATATATCATATGTCCAGAGTGTTTCATGATTTTCATTGTATATCACAAGATTACCATCAATTTGAATTTTTAATTTGCAACCACTTCCTTTTAAAATTATTTGCCAGAATACAATTTTACCTTTGTAAAGCACAAGGTTGCAATTCATGTGCAATAATAATATAAATTGATGATTAGTTGATTCTAAATATTCTCCACTTTGTAAGTTTGAGAAATATGAAGAATCATAAATACTTCTAATACATGAACGTCTCCATGAACAATCATGTATAGATAAAAGTTTTGGGTTTTCAGTAATACTGTTAGTATGGTATATAGTATTATTACTATTATCCTTATTGTGTAAAGAGTATATTTCCTCATTATCACCAAGTTTAAAGATTAAACTAAAAGCTTTTGTAATATATTCATTGACAGCAAAATTTGTTATCTCATTGTCATTTATAATAGCAACACTTAGTAAATATTGAAGATTTCGTTGTACTGTCTCACCAAAAAAAAAAGATTGATGATCTGGAAAAATATCACAAAGTAAATCATAAAATGGTGGGGGTTTTTGTTGGTGTAAAGCAGTTATTAAAATTTTAATTCCATTATATGTATAGATAACTGACTTTCCAGCAAAAAATTTAGCCTTAGGATCAATCTGACTAATCACCATGGGTATTGCTTTTAAAATAAGATCTTTAAGTTGTGGAGAGAAATGTTGGGGGTTACTCCTTGAAACTCTTACTGCTAGATGTTTTCCAAATAAAATAATGAATACAAGAGAGAAAATCATTCTATAGCAAGCCATACAGAAAAAAAGGGTAAGTGTGACTGTATACATGTTTGTTTTTGGAGTCTTGTATGTGTAACATGTTGAGTAAATCAGCCAAATGTATGGCAAATGCAGCCACTATGCAAAATGATGTCCTTAATCTACATATGGCATATAAAAAATGATATATAATTTAAACATAGTTTTATTTTTGTCATATTATATATTATGAATCTATGCACACCATTGTTTGTAAATCCAAATCTGAAATCCATGGCCAAGCAACATTTCAGTGTAAATCCTAATCTATTTTCTATGCTAAAGCTGGGTAGTGCACTCCATCTCTTGTGAACAGTTAGGTTTTTGGAAGGTCTAAAGTTGGATATATTGATAGCAACCAGGGAGTTTGTCTTTTGCATCTGTCATCTTGCAGTAAAGGCAACTCAAAACTTGGCACCATTCATTCGTTGGAATGTTGTGTCTTTGGGTGATGTTATGAATTTTTACTTAGTTTCTTCCGGACAAGTGGTGTTAATGCCTCCTTAAAGGTTGAAGATCTAAGCTGTGACAGCTCCATGGTGGAAAAGAAAAGGAACAAATGGTGAAAGAAAGAAGAAAAAAATTTTAAAACAAAGAAAGGAAAAAAAGAGTGAAAGAAATCACTGAGTGTTGCCCACTCAAATGCAATGAATCTTTGATGTTTGGTGGAGGCTCCTTGAGCTGGAAGAACCTTGGTTTTAACTCCAAAAGGTTGGCTAGACTTGGGAAAATCCTATTAATTCCTCTTGGGGACCATCAAAGGTGATTCGTTTCCTAGGAGAAAGAGAACTCCTTGTCAAGTGTTTTGATGCAGGGAAAGACGTCCTACTTCTCTATTATTGATCTAGTGGCCTTGTGCAGTGGTGAGGGATGCAAAGACTGTCTTGAATTTCCCTAAAGGATGAAGGAATTTGCTCAGGTATATGGTCTTCTTTGTTGACTGGAAGTGACTGGTGGAGACAATGTCTATCATATCTTGTGCTACATGGCCTTCTAATGATGAATTCGCTGCCCCCAAAGTCAAAGATTGCAACTAGAACATGTGTTATGCTTGTGAACTGCTTCTTAGTCTAATTGATCTGGTGACTAGTGCTCTGGAATGTTGTTGGTGATGTACAGTAACAAGTAATGTTCCTGAATCATCCATGCTGGAGGAACCTCAGACGCTGATGTAAGAAGTTCAAGTCCCATCTCACTTGACTAGCCGAAGCTTTTTCTCAAACCTTTGGAGTTGTACCACTACTTTGTCTGCTTTTTTGTACTAATGTTTACCTTTTAGAATTTTCTCTACAAGTCCATGTACTTTACCATGCTACTTTGTGGTGACTCTCCACAGCTTTGAGCCAGTTCCTGTTGGTTGGCACATCTTCATTTTTTTGTCATGAGTTAGAGTGTTTTTGTCCTGCTTCAATAGTGTCAAGTTGATGGTCTCTAGCTGCTCAACATCAAGGAAAATTGTTAGTTCCTTGTCGTCATCTTTCTTGGGCATCCGTTGCTCTACGAACTGCTCTTGCACACATGCTGTATGTTTGGTTGGCTCTCTGCAGCTTTGGAAGACTCTAGACTCTTCGTGAGTGTTCTCATGTTGATAAAATCTGAAACAGTGACCCAGAAGATAGAAATCTCCTCTTCTCTTGGTGTAGCAATTATTTGTGTCATCTCAAGAATGTTGGCTATTGTGTGTGTGTATTGGATGAAGTCCAGGCTGCTGAAACTTGATACCCCAATCACTTTCACAAGTTTCCGTCATCCATTCATGTTCTATCCAGACTACAAGGCCAACAATAGATAAACAGACATATAATAAACAGGCAGCAACAAACATCATCACCAATCACAAGATACTACTTTGCCCGCATATGTTATATTCCTGGAGAGATTCCCCACTTGGGATACTACTCACTACAAACACAAAAGTGACACTTCGGGTGCCTGACACCACCTTTTAAGCTTTGTTTACACGTGGATACTGTTGTGCAGGGAAAAACAACTTTGTCCAAGAACACTTTTGACATATAGCAAACCAGCACTAATTTACCATCCATTCATATATTCCACTTTGTTTCACCCTTGGAATCTTGGAGCCAACACGAGGTACTTTTGGGATTGTGGGAGCCTTGGAGTTGAGGATTCAAGTTTGTGTTATCTCCTCTAAACTCATCTTTCCTCTTTGTTTCAGTTTTTCCACTTTTCTTTTCTCTTTCTCATCTATCTTTATAAGATTACCCTGAATCCTAAAGTGCTGTTGTGCCGAGCTGCTGCCGAGCTGCTGCCACAGCTGACCACCAAAATGGAGACACCACCCTAAACCCTGGGGGAAAATTAGAATCATGCTAGCTGTGTTGGTCATGGAAGGCCGAAAGTTTGATGTGGAGGATTGGCAATATGTCCTAGTAGGTAATGTGGAGAATCCATTACCATACTCCATTAATTGATTGGAGAAGTGTATTAACCTTTATGATATAAAACCTAAAGTTTTGTCCTGATCTGATGACTCTATGTGTCACACAGACAAGCAACATGCAATTTCTTCAATTTTTTGGACCATTTCTCAATTTGTGTCATGCTATATTAATGTTTTCTATATTCAAATTTTATCTAGTAATGTTTTGGTGTGAATGAGGGCAATGGACCAATCTTTATCATGGCATAGCATTCTGACTTCTTGGGCAGTTAGATCCAAGCCACTTCATCACACAAGTTTAGTGAGAATTCACCCTCATTTCCACTCATTCCTCCTGGTTATGTCATGGCTGGGGTTATTTATGTGTCAAGCGCTTTTGAAAAGTGATTGACACCACACATATAGAGATAGACAGACAGACAAACCCATCGTCTTTGGAGTGTGTTGTCCATTTCTCATTCAGATTTTTCAACTTTTTTTGACTTTCTTCATGTGTTCTTTCTTCACTTAGCTCTCTCTTTCACTGGGCAGATTGAATCTAGAAGACAAGAAAAGCAAAAAAAGAGTTAGCACTATAAGAAGCGCTTGGAAGTTTCAATACCTCGCAATCTTGCCCGACTTGGTCATCCCTCCAATCTGGTCATCAAGAACTAAAAACTCTCTCTAAGAGAGAGAAAGAGACCAAAGTTCTAGTTTTTTCTCACCTCAATTAGGCGACTTTATTTGAGCACATGTTTCTCACAGTCCTAACGTCCAAAAATCCTGATATTTCTTGAGTCTGGTAGAGTTATATTTCTAATTCTGTTGAGGTATAGCACATTTGAGACCGCTGTGTGGTTTGAGTGAGAATCAGACATTTATAAGCCAGGCTGAATTATAATAGAGTTTCCTTATGTTTTGATGTCAAAGTGCCAATTTTTTTCCATCTTTTCTTTGTTTCAGGGATATCTTGGTTATAACTTCCTGTTAAGCTTAAATCCACTCCATTTGGTCGTCAATTTCACGTATACAAGTCGTTTCCTTCAATTCCAATTCTTTTTTATGACAAATATATAGTTAACTTTCCACCACCATATATTGGCCTGAATCTCCAATATCACTTCAAATGGTGTGATACTTGATTGGAACATTGTATTCCATTTTTCCATGAGCGTAAGTTTATCTATGTTTCAGGGGTGGAAGATACTTCGTTCAAATTGTTATTGTTCTGTGAGGGTGTGCAGCTTTTTCAAGGGGGACCGTGTTGATACTGCAGCCTATAACCAATTAAAATCCCCCAAGCACTTCAAGTCCAAGCAAGATGGAGATGCACCCTGGAAGTGGTTCAAGTTCACATTGGATTGTTATAAACAACGTAGTTGTATGGAGCATAATGCAAGTGTTGCTCCAGTTTTTTTATGATTTGCCGGCGTCAAGATCGTAGAAGAAGGAACTCGAGATCGTAGAACGTGGATCCCAGCTGTAGTTGAAGTTCCTGCCATTTGGGAAATCACACCAGAGCTTGCAGTGCTCCAGCCACGGCGTTGGAGTGGGGATTCCAAATCCGGCGCCGCAGAAAGAAGAATCGCTGCATAGGCGAGCTTACCATAGCCGACAAAAAATATCAGGATATATATCAGAAAATATACATGGATTTCAGGTTCTACCGATGCGGAACATGTATGTGCCTCGGCTGCACACTTTCCCTGTCCCGTCGTTTGTTGGGGGTGCTCCTAGACCTCCTTGGTGGTAGTAGCAAGTATGGCGCGTAAAATTTCATATCTTTACATTCAAGGAAATGTGTATCAAACCATTATTTCGCTACTCTTTGGAGCTCCACTCCTGATACCTGTGCAAGCTCCCTGGAAAATCCGTGAAGAGTCCATCGACTTTAACAGTCTTGATCCAGTATTCGAATTCCTCGTATGGATCCTCATGAAAATCAAAATGGAGGAACTGGTTCTCGTTCCTAAACGTGTAGGGATGAACCTTAAGAACAGAAAAAATCGAGGGTAGCGAAAGGTAGAAAATTTGGAGCGGACAAACCTGGAGATGCCGAGAGTGAGCTCTTGAAACCAGGTGTGTCGCGTTCATCAAATAACCAGTGGTGATGTTTGGAGGCACTATCGTATCCTTCCAGGGTCCAATGCCAACAACATAGTTGCTGATGAAATCCAAGTATCGGTTTGATGTTATCTCTGCATAACTCTGCCACAATTGAAGCTTTTCAGCATTCAATCGCCTTTGGTTTGTGGATACCTGGTTTGTGTCCTGCGTACGAACCGTGGCATCGTCGATCAGAAAGATTTTTGGAGAGTCTGTGATGTTCGAGATGTACATAAGCGACGTTGGAGCAAAGCTTTGTATAAAGATTGGCTGCTTGTTCCAGTCGTCCGATTTATATTTTCCTTTGTAGCCATACTTCTGTAGGATTTCCATGAAAGAATCTTCTACTCTCTTGCCTTGAGGCCACTGTACCTGTTTGCAGAAAGGATTTCATTTTTAAGAAAAAACAAACACGAGAGAGAAGAAAAGATTGTTCTTTTTTTCTCACTTACATGTTTGTTCATGAAGACCGGACTCTTGATTTCCGGATAGATTCCAACTGTGCGAGACGCCTCCAAGGCGATTGAGATAAAACGTTCGAATGTGATGATTTGAAGCTTTCCTGCAAAGCACTAGATAACGCGTCCAGAAACTTTTTCTAGAAAGAAAAATCACCGTTGAATGAAGGATCCCGAAAGCTATACCGCTGGCGAAGTCTTAGTCTTTGAAGCTCTTCAAATGTAAAGTCCACTAGACAAAGAAGGGAGATGATGAGATACAGAGGAATGAACAAAAAAAAGTTCCTCTTACCAACAAAGAACCCCGTGAGATTTTGGCCCTCGAATTCGTACGTAGCTCTTCGTCCTCTAAATTCCGGATGCGCAGCAATGTCCGTGACATCATCGAGAATTGGATCGTGGAAGCAAATAAGAACGCAATCCTTTGTAGCTGTGATGTCCGCTTCTATAAAATCGGCTCCTTCCTCGATTGCTCTCTGGACAGAGAAATTGAAAGTAATCCATGGCTCCCAAACTTCACTACTCACCTTATACGCCAGTGCCGTTTCCTCTGGAATTTCCCCATTTGATCCGCGATGAGCGACATTGAATGGCCTCCAGTCCTGGATCGCAACCCTGGCCGACCGTGGGAAGCGGTACAATCGAGCAGCGCCGCACGATGATCCAGCGACCGCGGCGAGAAAGACGATGAAGAATGTTCCCACCCACATTTAGGGTTTGGGGTTCTTCCCAGACCTAAAAGTTGACTTGGTCAAAGACCTCGTTTTCCCTCTTTCGGGCTAGAAGAGCGAATTTCATGTGGATGAGAACGTAGTAGCTCCTTTACCACGATTCAATTTCTCTGCACGTAAGAATTTGATCAGAATCCCCACACGACTGCAGTATGAGCACTGAGTTAGTGCTCTTCCTGACGTTGAGCTGCAGGTGACAAGCTTTCGGTGGAGCTACTTTACTCTCGCTAGACTTTGCCGGGTCCAAACGTTATCTATCAGTGATTAAACGCTAGTACACGTTAACTGGGAATTTAAAGATCAACGTGGAAGCCATAAAGTCAATCTGAAAACTTTCACGCTCCGCAAACCCTCAAGAGCATGTCTCGCATTTGCATTTGCGTGAAAACGAAGTCAATCTCGTGTATAAGTGCCGCTCCAATCTCTTTCCTTTAATCATCACTAGTTCTTATAGATCTCTTCCAAAAGTTCCATGTTCTTATGAACACTCGGAAGAAGATGGTGGTCCCAAAATCCATGAATTCGTTGTCACTGCTGCTGATGATGACGATCATGATCGTCTCTCTTTCATTCTCAATCCGTGTCAATGCCGCCGATCCGGATCCACTGCAAGACTTTTGCGTCGCCGACCTCTCCAAGGATCTCACCATCAATGGCTTCCCTTGCAAAAAAGCCTCCAACACCACCACCGAGGACTTCATCTTTGGCGCCCTCAAGCGTTCAGCCAAAACGAACAATCCACTCGGCGCTGCAGCGGTGTTTGGAACCGTCAACGAGTACCCGGGTCTCAACTCGCTCGGCCTCTCCATCGCGAGGCTCGACTTCGCGAAAGGCGGCTTGATTCCTCCTCACACCCACCCCCGCGCGTCCGAGATGATCTACGTCGTGAAGGGGAGCATGTACGCCGGGTTTGTCACCACGGACAACAAGCTCTTTGCTCGAGTCATCTCCAAAGGCGACGTGATGATCTTCCCTCGGGGTTTGATCCACTGGCAGCTCAACGTTGGAAACACCAGTGCAGTGGGGATCGTTACGCTCAACTCGCAGTTCCCTGGCTTCCAGCTCATCGCCAACTCCTTGTTTGGATCCAAAATCCTGGACGAGGTGTTGATGAAGACCTTCTTTCTCGACAAGAAGACCATACAGCAGCTCAAGTCAATCTTCACTCCCTCTGGCTAGAAAAACAAATTCGATAGTGTTCACCTTGAAATAAAGTTTGTCACATACGAGATCTTTCCGCCATATCCAAGAGTGTCGTGTGCTTGAGAACGCTCCAGAGCTCACTTGGTACCTTTAGATCACCTCCATTTTCTTGGAAACTCTCGTTTTCTTCGCGATCAAAGCAGTACCATGGAGCTTGCCAGGCTTCGTCCTCGAGCACCTTGCCTGGCTCGAAAGTCATGACATACTGTGACATCCCTGGAAGATTTTCATTCTTAGTTCTTACAGGAGAGCGAAAGAAAAGAGACTATACCTGTGAAGAAGAGCCAGTGCACAGGCCTCTTCGTCTCCACATCCTCGTAGTAGACGATGAAACCGTCGGCCTTGGACCAGACATTGCAAGTGAATCCTCCCACTTTCTCCACACCAATGTAGGTGGAATTGCTCACCAGCCAATCCGGCGACAAAATCCCCACTGGGAAATGCATCGTCTTGCAGCTGCCGGCGTCGAGATCGTAGTAGAAGGAGGTGCCGTTTGTCCACTCGAGATCGTACAGCGTGGATCCCAGCTGGTGGTGGATGATATTGAAGTTCCTGCCATTCGGGAAATCATACCACAGGTCGATCGTGGAGAGCTTGCCGCTCGAATTCTGGAAGAGCAGCGCGTGGAATTGCTCCGGCCACGGCGTTGGAGTGGGGATTCCAAATCCGGCGCCACAGAAGGCGAGAAGAATCGACGCGAGGGCGACACGATTAGCCGCATTGCCACGCGACGCCATAGCCAACGAGAATGAATTCAAATTTAGGGCTCTTTGCCTTCTCAACCATGAATGGCATTGCGGAAGACGCTGCGATCCAGGAGGAAGAACAGCGGCCGCCGCGAGCACCCGCATTGCATCGATCAGCTCCAGGAAGAGGAGCTTTCCAATCTCCCAGAGTCTCCCGATCCCTCTTTCTTTGCCTCTCTCCTCCGAAATTGTTCTCTTCTTTCCCAAGGGCGGTATCTCCACCGCCACATCGCGCTGAGCGGCCTCGAGCCCACCTCACGGTTTCTCGCCAACATGCTAATTCACATGTATGGCACCTGCGGTAGCATTGACGATGCTTGGATTGTTTTTGGTCGGATGCAATCCCCCAGGAACGTTTTCTCATGGAACATCATGTTTTCAGCAAATGCCTCAAATAGGCATTTTGATGAAGCACAGTTTGTGTTTAACTCCATGCCACAACATGATAACGCTTCGTGGACGCTGTGCATTGCTATGTTCGCTCGATCCGGGCAAATTGTTACAGCAAGAAATGTTTTTGATGCGATTTTCCAGCCGGATGTTACTGCCTGGAACGCGATAATTGCAGTCTATGCCGAAACCGGGCATAACAAAGAGGCGCAAGCGGTCTTTCAGAAGCTGGATCTCGAGGGAGTCCACCCGGATAGCATCACTCTCATCTCCGTGCTGGATTCCTGCGACGATATCCAGCTCGGGAAGACCATCCACAGCGAGGCCGAGCTCGGCGGCTTCCTTGATTCGAGTGTCAACCTGGGAACCGCGCTGGTGACGATGTATGGGAGGTGCGGGAGCTTGATCGCTGCCGAGCAAAGCTTCTCGCGAATGCCTCGCCGAAACGTCGTGAGCTGGAGCGCCATGACTGCCGCATTCGCTCGCAACGGGGAGATCGATCGAGCGGAGCTGACTTTTGAGAGGATCCCGTCTCACTGCTCTATCTCCGCCAACACGATGATCTGGGCTTTCGTCCAGAGCAGCCAGCTCCAGCGCGCTAGGAAGATCTTCGACGGAATGCTGGAGAGAGATAGAGTTTCTTGGAGCTCGATGCTGTGCGGCTACACCCAGCGTGACCATCTACATCTCGCGCGGGAGTTCTTCCACTCGATGCCAGGGCGTTTTGTGAGCGTGAGCGCGTGGAACACAATCGTGGCGGCCTACGCCCGCGCCGGGGACTTCCCAGAGACGGTCCATCTCTTCAAGCGCATGGATCTCGAGGGATTCCCAGCGGACGAGCTCACCTTCTCGAGCGCATTCGAGGCTTGCAGTGGCCTCTCGGACGTGAGAACCGGGAGGATCCTTCACGAAAACTTCGACGATCACGGCCTCCCGCTGGACGAGTACGCGGGAACCTCGCTCGTGACAATGTATGGGAGCTCCGGGAGCTTGGAAGAGGCCGAGGCTGTCTTCTCGGCCATGCCCAGCCGCAACGCCGTCGCCTGGAACGCCATGATCGCGGCCTACGATCACAATGGCCGCGGGAAGAGAGCGCTGGAGAAGTTCCGGGAGATGGAGCTTGTGGGCGAGCTTCCGGATCAGATCACGTTCATCACTGCTCTGGCGGCGTGCAGCCACGTCGGGCGTGTGGAAATCGGGCGCGAGTTCTTCTCGAAGATGGCGGACTATGAGATCTGTCCGGTGGTGGATCACTATCTATGCATGCTCGATCTTTTGGGGCGAGCCGGGCGCTTGCAAGAGGCCGAGGAGCTGCTCGAGAGCATGCCGTTTGTGCCTGACGATGTTGCATTGACTACTTTGCTGGCGGCTTCCCGAGTTCTTGGAGATGCGAGGAAGGGTGCCACCGCCGCAGACAAGGCAGTGAAGATGGAGGGTGGCGACTCTTCGTTTTACGTGTTGCTTTCTAATGCTTATACCTCGACTGATTGATGTAGTGAGATGAGTTCAGCTCAAAGTTTTATTTATTTTTAACTTTTATTGACTTCCTTTGATTTTCATTGAATAATTTTGTGAGTCTCAATGATCATTTACCACTTTTTTGCTCAATTAAGAAACAAAAACAAGAGGCATAATCTTACTTTGAATTTCATTTTCACTCGAAGTTCAAGAATGATAAACATTTTTTGTTATTGTTCAGTCAGGAGCCTCTGAAAAATATCCCTAACGATGAAGACTATTCATTTTAGATCAATAGATCTTGATGTTTCATTTTATTGGGTTGTACCTTAACAATATCAATGAAAACAGTTAATGGAGCGAGGTGGTAAAGGAGACGGTCTGGAGAGGACTCCCACAGTGATACTGCCGGATGATATCAGCCAGAGAGAGAACAATTCGGCTGTCCATGGGCTTCACCAAGGGATTCCTCTGTGGCACAAGCACGAAATCATACGTGTGGTTCTTTGCACTGAATGGATTTGGGTAGTGGATGTTGTTGCTTGTGTTGGAAGGAGCAACATAAGGCTCCAAAATGCTCCCATTTACAGTTCCTTTCACGCCAAAGCCACCAACAGATCCAATCAACATTAGCTCAAAGATAACGTAAGTTTGTAACACTTACCAGAGCTGCCCGCAGGAATGTTTGCAATCCAATAGTTGATGTAGGGATAGACTGCATTTGGGCTTGGCAGTGCTTTTTGATCTGCCATCACCACTGAAAAGAGACGAACGCTACCATTTCCACGAAATCCTTCAATGTCAACCGTGGGAGGCGAATTGGTGCTGCTCAAGGGGATGAAGTTGCCATTCCCGACCGTGGTAGAACCATATTGTACAAGCAAACCCATGGCTGCATAAGCACTCAAGAGGCACACAAGGAAACAAGACACCAAAGAAGCCGCCATTGTGAATGCAAAACAAAATGAAATATTTTGGTTTTAGAGATTATTTCTTGGGCATTTATACAAGGTCCCAGGTATCTAATTTCGTCCTCAAATCCAGAATTATACAAGCTTTCTAATAGGGGCCAGTGGTGGTTTTTACATTTCGATACTTGTAATGACAATGTTGCAGTTACGCTGAAGTTCTTAAATATTTGAGGGTTTATCCTTATAATCATTTGTTTATATACAAACTATATACCTTGTTAGCATCACAAGATCCACTCTCTCGCATTTATTTTCTATACACTGGAGCCTTCAAAGAGGAGAGGTAAGCAATATCTGCCTTCACAATCCCATCAAAGAGTTGTCCAAATGGTGCCATTTTCACGTATCTCCCGGCCCCTCTAGCAACGTTGAGTCTCTCATTTTCCCACACAATCCTGCCTTGGCTGATGGTCACTTCTATATTCCCCTGGAAGATGGAAGAACATCTCAGTGCCCGCGATAAAATGAAGCATAAAGTTATTACCTTGATTTGCCATCCTTCGTATATGTTAGTGTCAATATTCGAGTGGTGAGCTTTTGCAGAGATCGTTGTTGTTTTGTTGGGATTCAAGATGATAAGATCCGCGTCTGAGCCAGGCAACACCGCGCCTTTCCTCGGATATACGTTGAATATTTGTGCACTGATTGAGCTTAAAATCAATAAAAAGTCGAAAGCAAGAGAATGACCTACTCACCAGGCAGTGCTTGATATTCGAACATAATCTGATGGAGAAATCTTCCCAGAGTTCTGTTCCAGAAAATATTGGACGCTAGAAAAACGAGGAAGCTGCTGTTACTTACCACCATAGCATCCCACACAATGTGCATTCGCTCTTCTATGCCTGAAAAAAATCAATTTTCACAAAAGCACCATGGAAGCAACACAAATGTAAACTTACCATTGACACCATTCGGGATTTTCCGAAAATCGCCTCTGCCGGCTGCTTTTTGTGATGAATTGAAAGGACAATGGTCTGTGCCGACAAGCTGAAACGTCGTGTTAGCTCGATTTTTAGAGTACTAGAATTTAGTAGATAGTATATTCACCTGCAAAACTCCACTTGAGAGGGCGGCCTGAAGTGCCGCATTATGTCCAGCAGGCCTTATAGGAGGGCTCATCACGTATCTGCAAAGAGAGGAAAACTTGAAAGCAGAAACTTTTAAAGGCATGCATACGTACTGTGCAGCTACCCGAAAGTCTGGATCCCACAACTTGGAGTCGTCCAAGACCAAACCAGATGCAACTGGCTCGCCAATCACTCGTTGTCCTGCCAAAGCTTCAATTTTAGACGAAGGTTCTAAATACCAAACCGACCTGCTTGACGAGCTCGAGCAATCTCTTCCAGTGCATCTATGCTCATTACGTGAACCACATACAGAGGCGTGTTTACAAACTTTGCAAGTCTGATGGCTCGTGCTGTGGCTTCTCCTTCCAGCTTCGCATGTAAAAGAAAAGTATGAAGAAAGAAATATTAAAAGTTTTGCTTACCAGTGATGGCCGAGACAGCGCATGACCCTCCGGTCCAGTGATGCCCAAGTCGTAGATTCGAGATTGACCTTCGGCCACGGCATCACCGTTTTCCGCATGAACTTGTGGTAGTGCGCCAAGGCTTTTACACGTCTTAAACCCTTGCAAGAGCTGTTCGTCCGTCACCATCAAACTCCCCTTGTACGCCATGAAAAATTTGAAAGAGTTGATTCCTACAGCACGAGATCAACACAAACTTGTAAAATACGAAAACGAAAACTAGCTCACCGTGTTCTTTCACGAGAGTTTCCATGTCTTGTGCCACTTTGTCGTTCCAGGTCGTAACAGCCATATGAAAGCCGTAGTCCATGCAAGAGGGCTCGGCTTTTCTTCGGTAGCTCTCAAACCCCTTCAGAAGGTCACCATCGATCGGGAGTGCGAAATCAATATGCATGGTTGTACCTCCGGCTAGCGCAGCGGCTTGGCCACTGAAGAAGTCATCGCAAGTTTCCTGGCCCATGAACGGCATTGCGAGGTGTGTGTGAGGATCAATCCCTCCTGAAGCGAAAACAAATGTAGAAACAATGAAAAGAAATGCGAGAGAAGAAGCTAATCCTCACCTGGCATTACGTACTTGCCAGTCGCATCGACTACACGAACGCCGTCTAGAACCTGTCATGCCAATCGTTCTTTAGCATCCACAAGAGAAGGGCGGGCGGGTAAGGAGGACGCTACCTTCAAATCTGGAGCTACCAATTTGATGATTCCATCCTCGATATACACGTCCGCATGGAACTGGCGATCGGCATTCACCACTGTTCCTCCGCGGATCAAAATCTTGCTGCTGTCATCAGTCTCAGCCAAGCACATCTGCCAGAAAAGAAAAATTTCCAAGCTAAGAAAAATCGCTCGATCGAAATCTCCTTCCTCTCACCGCATCATAAATCCCAGGCGCAGCAGCAGCAGCATCGCAGCTGGATCCATGCGCCATCGGGAAGAATGTACCGACGATTAGAGCGGCAAGGAGCGCCAAAATCCCCCCCATTCCTTGTAAACCCTAGGCTAGGCTCTATCGGAGCCAAAATTTTAAAAGCGAGGAGGCTAGGCTAGGGTTCTTCGATGACGATATTTCTTCTTTCTCTCTTCTTCTTGCTCGCTGCCTCCGCGGCAGCTGGATCATCGCCGCCGGAGCCGCCCACCGCGCAGGAGGATGCGGCGGCGCTGGACCGATTCAAGCGCTACCTCCAGATCCCCTCGGTGCATCCCAATCCCGATTACTCGGCCACCACCGATTTCCTGCTCGCCATCGCCGGGGAGCTGGGCCTGGCATCCCGCGTCCTGGAATTCGTCCCGGGCAAGCCCGTCCTCCTCTTCACCTGGCAGGGCAGCGATCCCTCCCTCCCGTCTCTCCTCCTCAATTCCCATGTCGACGTCGTCCCGGCCGAGCCCTCCAAGTGGAGCTCTCCCCCCTTCGCCGCCGCGGAGGATTCTCGCGGCAATGTCCTGGCTCGCGGATCCCAGGACATGAAGTGCGTGGGATTGCAGTACCTCGAGGCGATCCGGCGGCTCAAGAGGGCGGGATTCAAGCCGCCACGCTCAGTCCATGTCTCCTTCCTCCCGGACGAGGAGATTGGCGGCAACGATGGCGCTGGGCAATTCACAGGCTCGAAGGAGTTCCAGGATCTTAACGTGGGGCTCGCGCTGGACGAGGGATTGGCGTCCGAGGGGGACGAGTATCGGGTGTTCTATGCCGAGAGATCGCCGTGGTGGCTGGCGGTGAAGGCCATGGGGCGGCCCGGCCATGGATCCAAGCTCTTCGATAACAGTGCCATGGAGAACTTGGGGAAGAGCTTGGAGATTGTGAGCAAGTTTCGAGCGGCGCAGTTTGATCTTGTCAAGGCTGGGATCGCGGCCGAGGGCGAGGTGGTGTCGGTGAATCCAGTGTTTCTCAAGGCTGGAACTCCTACTCCCACGGTAAGTTCCTCGTGCTCCATTCTTTCTTTCCTTTTCCCTTGTTCTTTATTCTCTTCCATGGTACCAATCAATTCTAGAATCCTAGGTGCTATCCAGATTTTCAGCTTGCGGTTCCATGCATTCGTGATTCTTGAGAACTTTTGACGTGTTTTCTTCGAGCGAAAATATCGGCTTGTTTCGATGCTATTTCTTGGTTCATGCAATGTTTGCTTTGCGTGGTTTTCCCAGTCTTTCTTCTGCTTGACTGATGTCCTTGATCAAAATGTCTTTTCTAGCAATTTAGTTTTTTTTTTCTCGTTCCACCTTTTCTCTTTGTTCTTTCCTTCTTATGCTAGCCGCCTTGTTTTTCTTCGCCAGGGATTTGTCATGAACCTCCAACCATCCGAGGCCGAGGCCGGATTCGACGTAAGAATGCCTCCTTTCGCAGACCCCGTTGCCATGGAGAAGAGAATCGCCGAGGAATGGGCTCCCGCCTCGCGAAACATGACTTACGAGGTAAATCAAGCTTTCAAAGTTCCCTCTCTCGTGTTGATTTTGCCAAGCTACGTGAAAGTTTCGCCTTGTCCAGTTCAAGCAGAAAACTCCAGTGAAGAGAAGAGATGGTTCCTTGAACTACACTCCGGTCGATGACTCCAATCCTTGGTGGTCAGTCTTCAAGGAAGCCATATCCAAATCCAACCAGAGACTCGCAAAGCCAGAGATCTTCCCTGCCTCAACCGATGCTCGCTACTTCCGTGACTTGGGAATTCCGGCCTTTGGATTCTCGCCAATGGCGAACACTCCCATTCTTCTCCACGATCACAACGAGGTTCAGTGATTCTTCCCTTGCTGCCTTTTCTAACGATTTCTTTTTGCTTTCCAGTTCTTAAGCTCTCGAGAATACTTCAAGGGGATTGAAGTGTATCAGATTCTCTTGAATTCTCTTGCGAGCTTTGTTGGTTCAAAGGATGACACAACGAGCCATTCTGAGCTTTGAGATTGGAAGAGTGAGTTTTGTTTTAATCCGTCAGTTGTTTATATCTCGAGAATGTGACCAGATTAAATAAACCTTTATATCGTTTCTCGATTTGTACGAAAACCCTGATAAGAACAGATGCTACACTTGATCTTGCTGAGATCTGATTGTTCACCCACCCATTTATATACACTTCAAAAAGTTTAAAACAAAATTGTTGCTATCAGAGGGAGGTTTCGATCCTCCGACCTGTGGGTTATGGGCCCACCACGCTTCCGCTGCGCCACTCTGATTTTGTAACAATCAAATCTTAGTTTTTATATTTAAAAAAGCTTTCAAAACTAAATAAAATTTTAAAAAATAATTTTTAAGAAAAATTGTATTTCCCTTTAAAGTTTTGGATCACTCGTCGTTATTGCAGGAAAATTGTGATGAGGACGAGAACAGCAAAAAGAGAAGATTATTCTTGTGCTTGTTGATTAAATAGCGCCGCCTCAAACTCTAGTATGGTTCCACGGGGTTACGGAAGTTAGCGCCAGCATATACAGCCGCGTCTCCCAGCTCTTCCTCAATCCTCAAAAGCTGCATAGATTCGTTTCCAGTTCAGCAGGAACTAGCTTTTAAGAAAACCTCGGACTTACCTGATTGTATTTCGCAAGCCTCTCAGATCGGCATGGAGCTCCCGTCTTGATCTGACCCTGCAAAAACAAAAACAAAACATCAAAGATCACTCATATGAAATTTTCTGTTCTTACAGTTGCCAGCCCGACAGCAAGATCTGCAATGAATGTATCCTCTGTCTCACCACTGCAAGGTTAAGAGGTTTCAGTAACAGCAAGCAAATGGTTTGTGAATCGTCAAACTTTACCTGCGATGACTGGTCATTACTCCCCAACCAGCTTGTTTAGAGAGTTTCACAGCCTCAATACTTTCTGTCACAGTTCCGATTTGATTCACCTTCAACAGGAGAGCATTGCAAGATTTCTCGGAGATCGCTTGTTGCACACGCTGCAAAATGAAGTCTCGTTTCCATGTCACAAAGAACTTTAAAGGAAATACCTTCGGATTGGTAACCAGCAAGTCGTCACCAACAATCTGGACATCCTTCCCGACTTTAGCCGTAAACTTGGCGTAGTGTTCCCAATCGTCTTGGTCGAAAGGATCCTCAATAGACACAATAGGATAATCCTTTATGAAGGACTCGTAGAGTGTGATGAGCTTGTCACCGGAAATCTTCTCGCTGCCGTCATTGTTCTGTCATTTAGGCAATTAGTCAAAACCATTTCCAAAACGTTGAAAATCATACTTCCTCCTTGAAGTTAAGGTCGTACTGCTTGTCCTTTTCGTTGTAAAACTCGGATGCAGCAACATCCATACCAATGAGAACCTGAGAATCAATTCCACTTTGTAATTGTAAAGAGAAAAATCTTGTTTCTACCTTTCCGGTGTAGCCAGCCTTCTCAATAGCAGTCTTCAACAGTTCCAGACCTTCTTTATTTTCCTGTAAGCAGATCAAACGCACAACATAAACATTTAAAACGACGAGAAAACAACAGTCTACCTGAATACTTGGAGCAAAACCACCCTCGTCTCCTACATTAGTGGCGTCTAGGCCATATTTCTTCTTGATAACAGCCTGTTTTGACAATTGCTTGGTAAGAGAGGCAAGGCATCTAGAAAGAAAAAACGCACCTTCAGGCTATGGTAGACTTCAGCTCCCATCTTCATGGCCTCTCGGAACGAAGAAGCTCCAACAGGCAGAACCATGAATTCCTGCATTGCAAGCTTGTTGCCGGCGTGTGAGCCGCCGTTGATAACATTAAAGGCAGGAACGGGGAGCACAAGCTTCTTGTTTCCGGCAAGGTTGGCAATGTGCTGGTACAAAGGGATCTTGGAAACGCCAGCTCCGGCCTTGCACACGGCCAAAGACACGGCCAAAATAGCATTGGCCCCCAACTAGAACAAAGAAACGAAAAGAGGATGAGCGAGCTCGAGAAAAAAGCAAAGTTTTTTACTACCTTCTGCTTGCACCAGCCCCATTTGTTTTGTGTTCCATCGAGCTCGTGAACCATGAAGTTGTCAATACCAGTTTGATCGGTCGGATCCTGTACAAGATTTTGTTAAGTTGGAGCTAGAATTCTTTGATAAATCCTTTACCTTTCCAACAAGAGCAGGCCCGATGATCGCGTTCACATTGTTCACAGCCTACATCAAAGCTTTGGTTTGTCGAGCAGAAATTCCCCAAAAGCAAACGCAAAAAATCACCTTTGAAACCCCCTTTCCCATGTAGTCTTTTCCTCCATCGCGAAGCTCCAGAGCCTCATACACCCCTACAAAGTAACATTCATTAGAACGAATAAGAACCGAAGGAAAAAGGCATCGATTGATTTACCAGTGGAGGCGCCGCTGGGCACAGCCGCTCTGTAATACGATTTATCAGACAACACAACATCGACCTGCGAGATTTGCCATAGTCAGTGCCTTTTCTCTCCATGCAAGCAAATGAAATCGATCTAACCTCCACAGTGGGATTGCCGCGGCTGTCGAAGATGGTGCGCGCCTTGACTTGCTGGATCGATGGCGCCATTGATCGGAGAAGAGAGTCGAGAAGGGAGAAAAAGACCTGCGATGATAAACCCTCGTTGGCGAATAAAAACTCGGCACGAATAAGACAAAGTATATTCGTGCAAGCATATTCTTTGCGGGCCGCAGAATATTCGCATAGTTTGAAAACCATATACTTTTTCGCGAGAGCCCGAGTGGCAAACAAAGGGACCCGAGCCCGATTTAAATCATTGCATTGAGACCGTGAACGAACCAGAGGCGCACACACAGAGGGCCATGAGGATTTCCATTGCAATTTTTGTGCTCTTGGCCGGCATTTTCCAAGGTAAGCTCTCAAGCTCATGGATCGAGAAAAAATTTAGTTCATGCAATGTCCCATCCACCTCAAGGAACGTCACGCTGAGACTAAAGAACGCTTGCCCCTTCACAGTATGGCCGGCCTGGCTGGGATCTCCCAGACGAATCTTTCGACATCGTGGTGCCCCGGGACTGGTCGGCGGCTCGAATCTGGGGGCGCACAAACTGCCAGTTTGGAGACCACCTCCAGCGACACCACCCTGGGCTGCGACACCGGCGAGCTGGAATGCCGGGGTATTGGCGGCCAGCCGCCGTTTACCATCGCGGAGCTCACGCTGGACGGCTCCGATCGCAGCGATTTCTACGACGTGTCGCTCGTGGACGGCTATAACCTGCCCGTACGGATCGTCCCCGTGCACAGGAACTGTACGGCAGCGGGGTGCCACAGCGATGTGAATTCCAACTGTCCGATGGAGCTGCGCGTTCTGGGACGGAATGGCGACGTGGTGAGAAGCGCCTGTTCGGTATTCCAGACAGATAGATTCTGCTGCCGCGGGCTTAGCTCCGAGCCGTCCACGTGTGCGCCCACGATATATTCCAAGATGTTCAAGGCCCACTAGGCGTCGATCACAGCAGCACATTTACTTGCCATTCCGGGACGAATTACGTGGTGGAATTTTGCCCCGGCAGGAGCTGATATCCGCCCTTGGATGCCATGTGACGCGATTTTGGTCACTAATCATAAAGAAAACAATGCGTGGTTGTTTTTTATTATCTTGGCAACAAAAGATTGGCCCAACAATCGAAGAGCCACCGAACCAGGAGAGAATTTTGACAAATGCAGCTCCATGAAAGCCTCTCTCTCGTCCAAAGAAAACAAAATATGACGGAAAGAAAAAGGAAAAAGAAAATATTTTTCTGCAAAGAATCTCCAAGAATCTCTAAGAAAAAAAATCACCTTGATTCTCAAACTGCAACTGGCGGCTCGTTGTATCTCGAGCTTCCTCGATTTCCAGCCTCGACGGCTTCGTTGTAGAGCCCATGCTTGGACGAATCATACTTCTCGCCATCGCCCCACAGGGCGTAAGCCTCCTCGCCGTGCGCGGCGTCGTCCCCGATCATCAGGTGTTCTTCCGGCATCCGGAGAGGAACGATCTTGCTGATCACCCAGCAGATTATGCTGGTCATCACCAAATTCCAGGAGATGATAAACAGCGCCCCTCCGAGCTGCTTCACCACCTGCATGGCTCCCCTAATGTCGTGGTTGTAGAACGCACCGTGAGTTCCCGGGACTGACGAAAACATTCCCGTCACCGTTGGCTGCGCGAAAAGACCCGTGAGAAATCCCCCGAGAGTTCCCGCCACCGCGTGAGTGTGGAAAACCGCCAGAGTGTCGTCAACTTTCTGAAGGAAGGGCGATCGCTTGTGCACGACCATCATCGTGTACCATGGAATGCTGCCGGAGAGAATCCCCATGCAAATCGCTGCCCACCCTTGCACGAGACCTTGAAATTCACACAATGTTTGTCAGTATAGATTGGAGATAAGAAATGCTTGATTTTGTATACTCACCAGCTCCAGGAGTGATGCAAACGAGCCCGGTGATCATCCCTTGGACCGCTCCAATTACGGACGGCTTGCCAAAGAAGATGGTGTCGAAAGCCGTCCAGACGAGCAGGCTTGCGGCGGCACAGATGTTTGTGTTTAGAACCGCGAGGGATGCATCGATGTTTGCGGCGTAGGGATCTCCTCCGTTGAATCCAGCCCAGCCCATCCAGAGCAATCCAGCGCCACCCAACATGAGCAGAACATTGTTTGGGGGAAATCTTTCGCGGTCCTTTGTCAGCCTCGGACCAACCTGCGCGAATAACTTTGAAGTTTAGAATAACTTTGTGATCGATCGAGAGTGATATTACCCAATATGCTGCTGTAAATCCCGCCACCCCTGACGAGAGATGGATCACATACCCTCCAGAGTAATCGAGAACTCCCCACTGGAACAAAAACCCGCCGCCCCACAGGCTAAATGCCCCGACCGTGTACGAAAACGTGAGCCAGAGCGGCACAAACAGCATCCACGCGTGGATGTTCATCCGCCCGAGCAGCGATCCTGCGATGAGGATCAAGCAAATGGCCGAGAAGACGAACTGGAAGAACACCATCGTCGCCATGGGGTAGAACGGCTGCACCATCTGAGTTTCGACCGTTCCATTGTGGAATTTGTACTCGGTGGCGGAGAGATGGGCTTGGCGGAGGAGGAATTTCTGATCGAGCGCCGGCCCGGCTTTGCCCCAGAAGGGGAGGAGCTGGTGCCCGAAAGACATCTTGTACGCGAAGGAGACCCAGCAGATCAAGACGGCGGCGAACGCGTACAGGGCCATGAAGGCCGAGTTCACGGCCCATTTCTTCTTGACGATGCTGCCGTAGAGGATCACGAGGCCCGGGACGCTCTGCATGCCAACGAGCGTGGCGGAGATGAGCTGCCATGCGTTGTCACCTTTCTCGAGCCATTCCGGGGTGACGGCCGTGATTGGGGTCGTCCGGGCCGCCATGGTGATCAATTTGGAGCTCTAGCAAAGCTCGGGATCCTACCAAGCGCTGATCTCTAGCGCTAGAAGCTCGAGGCTAAGCTCGAGATTGATAATGGAAGTGGGAGGAGAGTGAATTGGGCGATTTCGGTGGTGGTTTATAGTGGCTAGAATGACAATGGCGGAAGGGATTGACGATGTTTTTGGCGATCGCAGCGATGGGCGTGGTCCACAGCTGGACATGAAAACATCCGCTAGCTGGCTACTTTGTCGCAGGATATGAAAAAACATTGACCTAAAAGAAATCTCTGTCATTTACCTTTATGGAACTTTGTGTTATTCAGGAGATTTTCGTTTATCATTTCGTTAAGGTGGCAGATCTTTGTTTTTGGACAGAGTACCAAAATACTTCCAGGAAAAAAAGAGGATTCGAACAATTTAAGTGTTAGGGTTTTAGTTAGGTCGCGCGATGGAGGAGAAGGATGTTGGGATTTTGTGCTTCGCGAATTCCTTCCCCGGTTTTAGAGCTGTTCTCAAGCAAAGGTATGCCGCGCTCTCTCCAGCCATGGTTGCATTCTTTCTTTCAGGTACTCCGACTTCATCGTTAACGAGGTGGATCTCGATGGCAATGTGGTGCGATTGACGAGCTTAACAGCGCCACCAGAGGTTCTTTGATGTTTCCATTCTTGATCATGGCTGCTTAGCTTTTTTTTTCTCTTTCGTCTTTCAGGATGAAACCCGGAGTGATGCCGCTGCCGCGGAGTTTTCCGTGGCTTCATACGAAGCACAGCTCGATGCTTTCAAGGAACTCGCCGGCGAGGAGAATGCCCGTATTGTCAAGCAGCTCCTTGACAAGATTTCTCCGGAAAAGTCCGATGATGGCAACTCACTGGTGGAAACTCTCACGCCAAACGAGGATAAAGGCAGCCGCACGGTATCTTTGCTGCTTGTCTTTCTTCTTGTCTATGAAAGTAAGGTCTTCGTGTTGCAGAAAGTTCACGCGTTCTTTCGGGAGAGAATGCCGATGCTTATAACTGATACTGTGGCGGACAATCGCATTCGCGTGAGATACGGTGGCGGCTCAGCTTCTGACGATCGATCTGGGAAAAGGAATCGAAGCTGGAAAGGAAAGCGAGGCCATGACTCGAAGCGACAGAGACAAGACGGTGACAAGTTTGATCGTCGCGCAGGAAACTACTGGCCAGCTGATAGACACAAGTTTTGCCAGTAAGTTTTTGTCTTCCCTGGTTCTTTTTCTCAAGCTTCGGTTTCTTTTCCTTGTAAGGTTTTACCTATACAAAGAGAACAAGACTACGCAGTCGGCTTTGATGATTGTAGCTCAGAAGATTGGCGTAAAGGTAACCCGAGCGTAACTGTTAGTTTTTCTAAAGTTTCTTACCAGGCAAAGAACATGGGTTTTGCGGGGACGAAAGATAAGCGTGCAGTAACAACGCAGCGGGTAAGAACTTCTTTTTAGTCGCCATTAGAGTTTGGAGAAAAACAAAATGCAATATTTTTTTCCAGGTCACTGTTTACAAGCATTCAGCAACACAACTCGCAGCACTTAACAAAGCCTTGTTTGGTATCAAGCTAGGAAACTTTAGGTACTGTTTTTTCTCTCTAACATTCTTTCCAATTTCCTCTTTAAATTTTCTTAGCTACGTTGAGAAGGGCTTAGTTCTTGGAGAGCTTTCTGGAAATCGCTTCAACGTGATTTTGCGGTGATTTCTAACCGATGGAAAGCATTCTCTAATGGACTGCGTGCAGTGATGTCGTTGCAGAGTCCGAGCATGCGATCAAGGAAGCAGCTGAGGGCATGGGGAACTCTGGTTTTATCAACTACTATGGCTTGCAGGTATGTGATGACTTTGATCTAAGGTACGTACTACCTTTACATTTTTGCAGCGTTTTGGAAGCTGTGGTGTGCCGACGCATGCTATAGGCGCCAAGCTGCTCCAAGGTGACTGGAAAACCGCAGTGGATCTGATACTCCAAGAGAGAGAAGGAGATATCCTTTTTTTTCTTCTATTTTTTAAATGCTTTAACGGGTGCCTTAACGCGGTTTACACAGCAGCAAGCAGCTGAGGAATCTCGTAAGATCTTCAAGACTGCTGGTCCTGCCGAGGCCTTAAAGCTCATGCCGCACCATATGATTGCCGAAAGAGCCATTGTAAGATGTCAAGATTATGACGGGCCTGATCCATGTTTCGTTCTTTGTTGGCGCAGCTTCTTGGCTTGAAAAAGGATCCTGCAAACTACCTACAGGCCATCCAAAACATTCCCAGGCCAATGCGGATGATGTAAGTTTGCAAGAGCTTTCTATTTTCTTTCTTAAGCTTGTTCTACAGGTACGTCCACAGCTACCAAAGCTATTTGTGGAACAGCGCTGCAAGCACGAGGATACAAAAATATGGTAATCCACTTTTGTCATTCTCAAACGGTGTCAAAGACGTAGCTTTTACAGGGGTGGATGCTGTTGTGGAAGGTGATCTCGTCTACTGTCAAGAGGATGAGATTTCTAAAGAAGCCGGGAAAGATGATGTGGATCTTGAGGATCTCGTAGACACGGACGTCCTAGAGGATGACGCTTGCATGGAACTCGCTCGCCCATCTCGGAAGAAAGTAAAGGTAACCAGATTGCTGGAAAATCTTACCGCTTTAACACCATTCTAGCATGTCACAGCGGAAGATATCGCCTCGAAGAAGTATGCGATAACCGACGTGGTCTTGCCTTTAGTCGGGTGAGTGAGCAGGCTTGTGAGTTTCTTTTTTGCTTCCGGATACTGATTTCTTTTGGCAGTTCCACCACTGTTTATCCATCAAACGATGTGGCCGATGTCTACAATAAAATCACGAAAATGGTTAGCTCGTTTCCAACGTTTTCATGTACAAACTAACGCTTTCATCTTACAGGAATCAATAGATTTGAAGTCTTGTACACACAACGTGAAGTATGTGTTTCGATCCAACATTTGTTTACTTCCTTTTTGATAATTTTTGTAGAGAGTTCTCGGTGGAGTATTTGACAGGAGCATATCGAAACTTACTCGTGAAGCCTATCGACTTCGAGTGGTAATTTGTCCGATTGCTTCAATGTCCCAAAACTCACATCTTTCGGTTCCAGGAGATTATCCTCGTACAGCGACGCCCGGAATCCTCTGACGAAAACGGACATGGATTTGCTCCAAGATCCTAGCACTAGCCTTCCAGAAGAAGATGCAAACTCCACTCAAGGCCCCAGCCTTCTGGCATTGCAGCTGCAATTCACTCTCCCAACGTCGGCCTATGCTACAATGGCGATAAGAGAGGTCATGAAAATGTCCACGTCGGTAAGTTTGCCATGCTCCTAGAAAATTTTCGTGAGCTTTGCGATTCACAGGTCTCCGTGCATAAGCTGCTATCACAGTAGCAAGAGCTTCCCAACAAAGATGGTGATTGACAAGAATTCTCTGTTTTGCTGCTGCTGCTGCTGCTGCATCTGGATGTGTTGTTGTTTCCTTCCGCTTGGATTGGAGTCCGTTGCTTCGTTGCCGTTGCAAACACAACAAATAGGATTATTCGCCGGGATATTCTTTTAGGGTTCTTGAGATGATTATTCCTCGGATATGCTTACTTGAAAAAACCGTTAGGGCTCTTGGAATTTTATGCTCGAGGCCTTGTCGAGAATTTGCTGCTCCTGCCGCCGCGCTCAAGATCTCTGCCCGCAGCTCCAGGCGGCGATCGACTGCCTTCTCCAGTGTGGGAATTCGAGGGATTTCCGGCGCGCCAGAGAGATCCAGGCATGGGTTGGGGTGAGCGAGCTTCACAGGCACAACAGGTTCCTCGCCAATGCGCTGGTCCAGATGTATGGCCGCTATGGGCGGATCGAGGATGCGAGGGCGGTGTTCCAGGGGATCGCGAGGCCATCGATCAGTTCCTGGAATGCTTTGCTCCAGGCCTACAATCGCAGCGGCCAGGTGGAGCGCTCCAAGGAGTGCTTCGATCGGATGAGCGCCAGGAACGTGGTGTCTTGGACGATTCTGGCGTCGGGATTTGTGCAGCATGGGCATGGCCACGAGGGGCGCTTGGTCTTCCACAAGATGCCCGAGAGGAGCATAGTCTCTTGGAATCTAATGATCGGTGCCAGCGTTCAGGACGGAGATTTGGGCGAGGCCGAGCGATTGTTCTTCACAGCACCAGATCGCGGCGTTGTCTCGTGTACGACGATGATCACGGGATATGCCCAAGTGGGTGATCTCGCCTCCGCGAGGAAAATGTTTGAAGAGATGAGCGAGAAGAACGTTGTTTCGTGGACAGCGATGTTACAGGCCTACTCGGAAAACGCGCTTGTCATCTTCGCGAAGATGGTGTTTGATAAAATGCCCGGGGGGAATCTAGTGAGCTTCTCGGCAATGGTGGCAGCGTATGCCCAGAATGGGCATCTGGAAGAGGCAAAGGTGATGTTTGATCATGGCTTTAATCGAAACTTGGTTCTCTGGAATATAATGTTCCATGGATACACCGCAAAACAGAAGTTCCGAGAGGCAAAAGAGATATTTGTCAAAATGCCCGAGAGAGATGTGGTGGCATGGACTTCTATGCTTGCAGCAAATGCCCAAGAAGGGCATATTGACGAGGCCAAGGCTGTGTTTGCAGCCATGCCCGAGAGAAATGCCGTGTCATGGACCACCTTAATCTTCTACTGCGACTCCATCGCGGACGCGGAGCACTGCTTCTTCGATCGATGCCCGAAATGGTCGCTCGTCTCCACCAACGTGATGCTCCAAGCGTATGCCCAGGCTGGGGATCCCCAGAGAGTTTGGAGCTTGTTCTCCTCCATGCCGGATCGAGACACCGTCGCCTGGAATCTCTTGCTCCAGTCGAGCGGTGCCAGCGTCGAGGATTCCACCTGGGTCTTCGAGAGGATCCCTCGCAGGGACGCGGTATCCTGGTTTGAGATGATCCAATCAATCGTGCAGAGCGGAGCTATGGAGTCGGCCAAGATCTGGCTGGAGAGGATGCCCCGCCACAGCGCCATGGCGTGGACGTGCCTCCTCTCGGGGAATTCGCAGCTGGGCAGGATCGAGGAGGCGCGCGCGATGTTTGATTCCATCCCCTGCCGCGATCTCGTCGCCTGGACCGCCATGATCGTGGGCTATGCACAGAGCCAGCGGATCCACGACGTGAAAAAGCTCTTCGATCGGATGCCCCAGTGGGACGCCATCGCGTGCTCGATGCTGCTCGCCTCGTACGCGCTCAATGGATTCCTCGCCGAGGCCATGGATCTCTTCCCGTGGATGCTGAGCCATCGCTCTTCCACGCACGCCTGGAACACGATGGTCGAATCCTTCGCTCTCGCGGGGCCGGTGGAGCGGCGCAAGCTCGCGCTCGATCTCTTCCACGCGATGCTCCTGGAAGGGGTCAAGCCCGATGGATCCACGCTCGCTAGCGTCATGCTCGCCTGCAACCACATTGGTCTCGTGGAATCGGCCAGGGGATTCTTCCTCTCGATCGCGGGGGATTTCGGCCTCGATCCGGGCAAAGAACACTACAGCTGCCTTGTCGATTCGCTCAGCCGCGCCGGGCAGCTCCGCGACGCGCAAGATCTCATGGATTCCATGCCCTTTCTTCCATCGCGGCTGGATTGGAGGACGCTGCTGGGCGCTTGCAAGAGCCAGCCAGATCTGGCCATGGGGGCTCGAGCGGCGGAGAATGTGGTGTCACTGGAACCCCGGAGTGGAGCGCCATACGTGATCTTGTCGAGCGTCATCGCCGTGGAATCCATAGCTCACCTTGAGACAATAGGATATATTCCAGAATAAAATCACGACAATGGCTAACACCTTGAGACAATAGGATAAGTTCATTGTGTGATCTCCATAATAGGATTCACATTGAGTGACAATAGTTACCGTTCACCATGAGACAATAGGATTCACATACTGTTTACCATGAGACAATAGGATTCACATTGCTTACCTTTCACGCTCTTTTGATAGGAAGAGTATTTCGCTTTAGCCACTCGCGAGCGCTCTCATTCACAAGCGGAGACACCTGATGAATGAAAGAGTGGTTTCACTGGTAATTTCTTATGGAAGCTTACCTTGTCCCAGACTGCAGCGTGATACTTGTTCACCCAAGAGATATCCTCGTCGGACAAGAGATGAAGGGCTATGAGTTTTGTCTGGAAGAAGAACAAATGAGTGAGGGATTGGATGAATGTGAGTCGCATTACCTGGATTGGAACGAATGACAGGCATTCAAATCCCAGATAGGAAACTCCCCCAAAGCGGTTTGGTGTCTCCACCTCGCAAACATGAAGTAAATTCTGCACAAAGAATGAAAAAAGAGAGTGTTAAGAGAAACTTTTCTGTCTCACCTCTATTCGAATTCCAAACTTGTGATCTTCGTAGTAACCAGGCTCGTTGCTGATTATCATTCCCGGTTGCAAGGCAGTCATGTTTCCGAACCGAAAACTGATGCTTTGAGGACCTTCATGGACATTGAGAGCAGCGCCAACTCCATGGCCAGTTCCTATATTTCCACTGCATAGTCAAGAGAGTACTTAATTCACTGCAGGTGAGAACAAAATACCGTGACGATAGTCAAGTCCAATTCTCCACAAGGACGAACGAGCCAGAACGTCGAGTACGAAGCCTGGAGTATTCTCTGGGAAAACTGCTTGATCAATCGATATGTGCCCCTAAAATACAAACAAGTCAGCTAAAAAGACAAGACATGATCCGGAGCGTACCTGTAAAACTCGCGTAAAACACTCTTTCTGGTAATCAGTAGGCACCCCAAAATGAACAGTCCTGGTTATATCTGTTGTTCCATCTGTATATTGCGCGCCACTGTCAAGCAAGAGCATGTGTTCATCATCCACTAAAGCACACGTATCACTTTCCGCCCTATAGTGAACAATGGCTCCGTTTGCACCCGATCCTGTAAGGACTGGTAAGAGCCGACAATTCTGCAATGGTAAAAAATACGAACCGCAAATCGTGTCAAAGCTAGTTTCTAGAAATCCTTCTTGTTTGGAACGAAAGCGGAGAAGTTCATCGCCAACTTCCACCTCCGTAAGCTTGGCTTTCTCAGTAACGATTTGTACTTCGAGCCAAGCCCAAAACTCAACCAGTGCTGCAGCATCTCTGCTCGGAAAGAGACCCGGTTACAATTGCGAAGAAAACCACGGAACTTTTACCTCAAGTGTGCTTGTTTCATCCCTGACATCTCAGCAGCATTTTTTATGGCCTTCGGCACAGATAGCGGCGATGGTCTGTGTAATGCAGCCGGTCCATCTGATGTTCCATTTTTCCCGTCGACATCCGCTTTGGCATAAAAGCCCGTACATCCATCCGAAAATGCATTCACAATGGCCATGTTGGTTTTGGTTGGATCTAGCCACAATTTTGAGCCCGACTCAGCTAATCTAAAAAACATTGCGTTAGCAACTCCCTAACATCAAATGATAGCACACCTTTGAATAGTTGATAGGAGCGCGGAGTACTCTTTGACGGTCACAGAAGAGTTTTCCAGATGCATCTCAACGTCTGGCGTCACCTTTGACAAATCAGTGAAAAGAGTTGCCTTATCCATCTCAACAAGCGCGTAAGCATAAGCCACTGGAGAATGAGGGACATCGCCACCACGCTGAAACATAAAAATTGAGAAGAGAAAAGTATAGACATTCACTTACAAGATTAAACAGCCATGCAACTTCATCGAGCATGGTTATCACGATGCCAGTAGCACCAGCTGCGGAAAGTTTCTTTCTCGCATCCGAGAGCTTCGCTGCGACATCAACGCCAGCGTAAATCAAATCGTGCACCCTCAGAGGAGACTTGGGCGGACAAGGTCTCCCATCGAGCCAAATCTTATCAATCAAGTTGCGATCGACAAAAGTGAGTTGAATCTCTTTGGCTGACAAGGTTCGCCTGAGCTCCTCCGCACCTTCGTGGGTGACAAGAAACTGTCAAGACAATAATTACATGAGAACGGAGGTTTAGAAAAGCAAAAGACAAACTGTAGCTCAAAAAAATATCGTCTCGACACCTTACTGGATCAATGCCTACAGCCGAACCAGCAGAGAGATTGTCCCTGAGCCACTCACTGTATGAAGGCACGCCAACAGAGCCACCTCTCATGAGCGTCCATTCAGGTCCAAGTTGGTTCTCAGCCTACACAGAAGCAGAAAAAACAATGAGAAATCTGTGCAGGAAGAAAGCAAAAGAATGAAGTTGAATCATTTACCTGAAGATAGTATCGACCATCCGTCCAAAGCGCAGCCTTCTCCAAGGTGATCACAGCAGTTCCTGCGCTTCCCGTGAATCCTGAAACGTAAGCTCGTCGCGTGAAGCACTCGGCTATAAATTCACTCTGCATACGCAGCAGTGAGCTACTTACAAAAATGACAAGAAAAAAAAATCCTAGAGTCGTTTTTTTCATTCTCAAGGAAGACGCAAGTACCTGGTGAGCGTCCTCCGATGGCACGATGTAAGCTTGGACACCCGATTCGCTCATCAATTTCCTCAAATCCGCCAGCTTCTTATCAGGAACAAATTCCTTGTCCTTCACATTCTTCCTCGCATTCCTGACGGACGAAGGCTCTGCCGTGATCCCGGGACCCGGATTCTTGGATCCCGAACACAATGCTGTGAGATTTCCTCTTGGAGACGGCATTGCCATGGAAATCGAAGAGGACCGTCTGATTCCGGCGCCAATGCCCCTGCGCGCGGCAGCAGCTGAGAGAACCGAATGGCGACCCGGGCTATTGGAAATCCAAATACACCTCAGCAATCGCGCGCTCCCGAGCGGCACCATCGCGAGAGGGCGAGGAGCCCTAGAGCTTGAACAAAAATTTCTTCAGCTCCATTTTTTAACCAGCTCTTAGGGTAATGGGCTCAATTTCCGCCAGGGTTAATAAAATAATGTACGAATTCATTTATTTAAATATAATTTTTGTACGTAAAGGTATAATTTATATGATTTACTGCTTATAAACTAATTTTTAGAAAAAACTACTCACAAAATCTTTAAATACTAAAAGTCTAAACTTATCCTAAGTCTGTCCATTTATGGCCCAATATCCGTCCATTTATGGCCTAATTTTTTGTCCATCGATGGCCCTAACATCGTCCATTTGTTGCTGCGAGGAGGAGCGAGGGCAGTGTGGGACAATGACATTCTCCAGGTAACTACAAGCAAGCTTAGAGATATTAGAGTGAAAACAAGTAAATTCGTTACCTTTGTTTTTAGTGTTTGCTTGGCATTAGAGATTCCAGGACTTCATTTTTTCTCTTATTTTTTTTTCTCATTGCTTCTTCTTCTTTCTCCCTCTTTTTTTTCAAGGCTTCCAATTTTTTCTTCTCTATCACTTCAGCTTTTCTGGCTACTGCTTCTTCCCTCTCCTTTTTTTTGATGGCTGCTGCTTCTTTCTTTTTTATTGTTGCTTCTTCTCTTTCTTTTTTCCTTGCAGCCCTTTCAATTGCTTCCAATTTTTTCTGCTTCTCATGTGCTTCTTTTGCAGTGGCAATTCCTTCAACAACACTAGTGAATTCTGGACTTGTTAAAACAGTTCCAGCACTAGCTTGCAACACTGGTCCAAGTCGAGGACGACTCTGCACCCCTAAAAATAATTTTGCATGTAGGTATGCCACCTTGTTGTTTTCTGATTGCCATCCAGGCACATCCACGTGTTGCTCATGGTGCTCAGCTTGATGCTCTAGCAAAGCTCCTGGGAAACAAAGTTGTAAGTGAATGAGAATTGAGAAGTGCTTTTTACCTAGTTGCTCAAGTTGTCTAGGAAGTTTAAGATGCTCAAGCTAGTCACGATCATTGCTTGCTTGCTGCTCAAGCTGCACTGGATGCTGTAGATGGACCTCAGCCTACACTACATCCTCATGCTATTCAGGTTGCACTAGATCTTGCTCATGATTGAGGTGGCTGCTGATCTCTTGGTCTCCCAGCTCCAAACTGTTTTCGAAGTTTGCTTCAAAGTCATTGAAAGATACTGCATGGAGTGTACTTGGACCAAAGTGAGTGTCCATAGCATTCTTGTTCAACGGCCATAAACCATTTGCTCTAAAACCGAACTAGATGTTTGTAGGTGTTAGAGCCATAGCCATGGCTCTACTGGATAACTGTGCAAGATCTTGACAATTGACTTCGTGTCCTAGATGTCCAAGAGTGTGTTCATCCACGCACTGCCTGAAATAACGCTTGTATGGCCCAAAACATGCAATGTCTAATGGCTGCATGTGGTGAGAAGTATGTGCTGGAAGAAGAATCACATCCACACCTAACATTCTTGCTGTGTCAAGTGCAACCTTTGTGACATGGGATCTGTGGCCATCAACAATCAGAGCATGGTGGTTTGTAGGCAAGCATCCACCAAGTACTAATTTCACAAAGTGTTCAAGCCACTGTGGCCACAAATTGTCTGTCATCCAGGCTTTCTTGCTGATGGCAAATGCAGCTCCAACTTCACAATCTGCAATCCAATTTTGCATCCTCCGCTCACCTTTGAAGATATAAAAGCCAGGTATTCGTCCACCTACTGCATTTATGGCCACTAGAACAGTCATGTGCTCTGTGTTGTTTGGGACAATTCGGTAATAAGATCTTGCACCTCGAGCAGCCAACACTTTGACACCTCCAGAACGATTAGCCCGAACACCAGTTTCATCAGCATTCCAAATGTGATCTGCCTCATAGTTGTTTCCAATGTAAGTTGCTTCCAAGTTTTTGTAGAATTGTGCCACAACTACTTGATTCAAGGACTTTGCTCGTTGCAGCTCCAGGCCTCAGCGACTTTGCTACTGACCTCTGGATGTCTTTTCATAAAACCTCTGCACCATTTTCGACTTGGTCCTCCTTCTATCCAGGTAGTTACTCTACCAGCAACTAACAGTTTTGCTGCATCTTTCAGTTGATTGAAAGTGAGTGGATAACCGATTTCAACTCGAGCTTTCACCAGAGATGCAAGAGACTCTTCTTTCGATGATGTAAGAATGGTGGGAGGACCTGGTCGTCCTGTGCTGCGTCCCCTTAACTAATCTTGCAAAGTTGTCTGAGGTACATTGAATTATTGAGCAGCTTTTCTTTCAAACATGCCACACTCTTCCACCTCATGCATAGCCTTCTTTATTGATTCTTCATTCCATGTTCTAGTTGCATGCTTCTGGCTACGTGCTTTGGCTGGAGGCTGACTTACAAGACAGTAGAGAAGTCAAGCATTTCTTTTTCTTTCAACCTGACGATCTTTTACCTTTGCAGTGCTAGGACATTAGCTTTCAGGTACACTTTCAGGGACAGGAGCTGCCAAACTTCTCTGCACTACGGGCTGGAAGCAAGTCTAGTTAAAAATCTGAAATGGAAACAAATAGTTACCTCTTGTGGCAAGGACAGCCTAGAATGGGACAGCCTCTGGGAGCTGTGAGTGTTTGCACACAAGCTCTTGAAAGTTGTGTTCTTTTGCCCTGTAGTATGCTGGTTTCTTATTATAGCATTTTGACCAGGCAAGGAAATGGTGTGCGATGTGCTTCGTGTACGTATATTGTGTTGGCTGAGCTTTGTAATTGATTGAACAGTAAATCTTGTGATAGGATCTAAGAAATTATTAAGAAATGAATGTTTTTCTTCTTCAAAAGAGTGGCATACCTCAAGATTTGATGTGTTCTTTCCAACTTTTTCACTTTTTTTGCCCACTCCTGAGATACTTTGACCCTATGATGAAATGCAACTTGATGAATAGCTGAACTTAGCAAATCTCTTGCTCCTACAGTTTTATTAAGCTTTCTTCTAAACTTAGGAATACAGATGAAATAGAGCAGTGGAATGAGTTCCTTTTCTTCTAAATAGCTAGATTTGTGATTGAAAAAAGTGATGAATGCTTGGATCACACTCAAATCCATCGCAACCTAGAATGCCATTGAACCCACCAAAAAATTGCCGTGTAATTTTCCATTTATCACATGGACAAGGTTTGGGCCAGGGGTGGCCAGAATTAAGGACTTGGGCGAGAATTGGGCCCGTTACCCTAGATCTGGAGCTCGATTCCAAGGACGAAAACGATTCAATGAAAAACTAGGGAGGTTTCAATCCTCCGACCTAATGCTCCAAACGTGGCAATTGTTCAGCCAGAATTATATTTCTGTCCTAATGACTAGTAAATTTTTATAAAAGCTTACCAGACTGTGATTATTGAGTCCTCAGGATAATACTTTAAATGTTCCATTAAAAAAAAAGAGAGAAATAAGACTTTGTGAGGGCCAAGTGTACGGCTATAATGCCGTATACTAATATTAGCATAATGGGATTTTGGTAGTCGTTAAATTGGTTTCAATTCGGACCACTTGCTCCTGTATATAAACTAAGGTTTTTGGGTTAATTAATATGCACATTTCTGTATTTCCTTTCTATATTTTATGCACTCACATTAGTGAAAGTGAAGGGCATCTTTATTATTCATGAAGAGTGTTTGGATTTGGGATTTTGGTTTAAATCTAACTTTTGCATTGTCTAGATTTAACTTTTTCCATTTCCTTCCTTTTGTTTTTTCCTTTCAGGATTTTGGTTTAGATCTAGCTTTTTGCATTGTCTAGATCTACCATTTCCTTCTAGCTTTTTTTTTTCTTCTTTTGCTCTTTCTTTTTCATTCATCTTCATGGCAAATCAGCAATCTCCTCCTTTGACTCTAGAGTAGCAGTTGGTACAATTACTTGATGCTATATGCTTGCAATTGAATAACCAAACTCAGTTGATGGCAACGTTCACGGCACGTGGTACAACTCTTGCTTTTGGTGCCAATCCTCGCGTTTGGCTAGGGTTCTTTCACGGGAATTCTAGGGATGATGTGTACCGTTGGTTTAATCACTTCATGGTGATTGCCACATATCATTCTTGGGATGATGCTTGCTGTTTGCATGAGTTTCCTATGTGTCTCCAAGGGATGGCATTGCAGTGGTACAATGGTTTGGGCACAGCTACTCGTGAGGATTGGAGTGTTTTCCCGGACGTCTTCAAACGCGCATTCAGACATGCTAACAACTATGATGATGCCTTCCAACAATTGCATTATCTTTGCCAAGGCCATCTGAGTCGGTGATGCAATTTGGTGTTCGTTTCCGAAGTCTTTTGCTTCATGCGGAGCCAAATATGTCGGAGCAGTTCAAACTATGAATGTTGTGGCCAGCACTTTGTCAAGATCTGGTCGGACTTGTCCATGCACTTGCTCCTGCCACCCTTGACGATACTCTTCACTTGGCACAACGTTATGAGACATCGCTTCTTCCACTTTTTGTTGCACGTCCTTTAGCTCCAGTTCCTTTGGGTGATGGTTCTGTTCCAATGGAGGTTGATGCTGCTGCTGCTTGAGTCCAAGGACAAGGTCGAAGACGTGGTCGTGACCGTGATGTTCGCTGCTGGGTGTGTGATGAAGTTGGTCATACTTATTGGCGTTGTCGGTGGTTTCCGGATTGGCAACCTCCATTTCCTAGGTGGAGACTTTGGCATCAGTAATGTCCCATTGGTGCTGCTGCAGTGGACGATTTGGACACCGAGATATATCTGGGAAACAAGGAGTCATGCAAGTAACGGAGGGACCTTGCGTGAATAAGTCAGTGACCCCTTCATCTTTCTTTTGGGAGTATCATCAAGGGGTTCACTTGGCACCGGTTCATCCAGTGTTTACTTTCTAAACTCGTTTTTATAACAAAAGATCTCCTATTATTCTCTCTGTATTGGTTGATATAGGTTCGAGTTTATCTTCTATTGCTTGACCTATTGCCACACATTGTCATCTACACTTGCATTGTGCGGGCAGAACCAGTTTTCATTCTTTATGGCAACAGTTGTACACATACATATGCACAAGATGAGGTGGACTTGATTGTGCATGTGAGCGATTTTGAGCTTGAGTTGCAGTCATTGCAGGTGGTGTCGAATCAAGCTTTTAACCTCATTCTTGGTATAGATTAGTTGCAATGTAATCATGCCAAGTGTGATTTTGAGGCTTCTTCCTTTTGTTTCATATTTCCTTATGTTTCATCCATTCCTTTCACTTCTGTACCTTTTTGTCCCTTTATTTCTACCTTTGCTTCCATTACTTTTGTTCCCCTACTATTTCCTCCTATGTTTCCATCTTGTTCTGCTCTTCCCTTTTCCAATCTCTCTGACGATTTTTGTGTTGCAGAGGTGGACCAGCTCATGAAGGAGTATTCTACTCTCTTTGAATTTGACCTATCATCTGGGGCCAAGATTGCCACACATCATCCAATTCCAATTGAGGATGCTCATCCAATCAAGGTTCCCATTTATCATCGGTCACCCAAGGAGATCAAGATTTTACGTGCCAATGTCAAGGAGATGTTAAAAAAGGGTGTTATTTGGAAGTCATAAAGTCCTTGAGCATGTGAGCCTCATCTTGTGACGAAGCCTGATGGGAGTATTCATTTCTACATTGACTATTGTCTATTAAACGAAGTGGCAATCCCAAATGTGTACCCTCTTCCAAGCTCTATTTCGTTAAAGTGGGAATTGTCATTATCCCACTTGTAAAATAAGGTTTCCAAACCTTTATATAGTATATAAATATAACAAAATTCAACTGCATTGAGGCACATGCCATTTTATTTTAAACAAGGAAATATCTACTCAATCACTTCTCCTCCCCTTGCCACTGCTTCACCTCTCTCTTCTCCTTGTCATCGTCGTCCAATTTCTTTCCATCCTTTTAATATTGGCTCAATTGCTCCAAGTCTAGGTGGAGCCCAAGTCCCCATTCAATCTTTACTTTCCCCTTATTAATAAAACAACTTCGTAGACTTCCAATAACATGCTGTAACACTTCTAGTATAATGCAAATCCTCTCAAAGAATTGTCTTTTAATATTAATACAATGGCATGGAACCCCATGCCATAATAAGTTACATTTTTAAATAAATACATGCCATCTCAGACTATTATTTTTTGCCTCCAACGCCTATACAATAATCTTGGAATTTCGTCATTCTCCACACTATCAGGATTTAAACCCAATAGTAATGCCATCTCTTCTCTAATACATCCACGCTCATGTTCAGTGGTCGAAGAACCCATCCGGTTGAGCAGATTATGGAGATGCGGATAGTGCTTGGCTAGACAATATACATGCCATAAATGATGACTGGTGTTTGTCCGATCAAATGGCTTCTGATATACCGTTCCATCTGCCATTTGGTTGATTTCTGCAGCCACCTCCTGGACTGGCCGGTTCTCTATCACCATCGCTCCAAGCCGTTTTGCAAGGTCCCCTAGAACATACGGTTTCTTCTCCCTAGTTTCCATACTGCAAGAGATGGGGTGCATTGCATATGTGTGCGTGTTCGCTGCAGTTTTAATTGGCGAGTCATCGATGATGAGGATTTCACTTGACCTAGCAGTCCGGTTCATCACTACAGCCTCTGGCTTGACGAAGATGGGCTTACTACCCCTCACATGGACCATAGTCAAGCAATCCTCCTGCGTTAGGAGAAAGTCAAATGGTAATATTACTCGCGTCTGATCGTGCATCATCTATAGCAACATTAATGCATTGTGGCGCATCATGGATGTCCAAACTCCCAATTGCAAATTGAACCCGACCCTCTGTTTTAAGTGTCGCATGGTCATTATTAGATCCCGCAGTTTCTCCCGTGTGATTAATGTGAATCTGTCTCTTTTGACCAACTTGCGACCGCAGGCTTTGGAGGGTGTAGTGACATTCGAGGACGAGCCACGCTCATGGGAGAAAAGGACACCGTTCAGATCAAAAACGATATAGTACCTTCGCCGTGACTCTGAAATGAAATGCGTCAGCATAAAAAATGGTACAAGTCAA